GCTCTTGCCATAATCTTCTCCCAGTCTTTATCATAAATTACTCAGAATGTAAAACACATAGCTTGTTTACTTCTTGGGGCAGATTTACATTTGGGGCAGATTTGCTCAAAGTTAGTATATGGAGCTAAAGGCTTATGTAGAAATGAAGAACAGTTTCCAGACTGTTTTGGCCTTATATCCTTTCAATCTGTTGATTGTTGATTGCTTTGAGTTAAGTCTCTATTCTTGTCTATCATTGCTGCTGTTTATCAGTCCAGATGTCTGGATTTCAACCGCCAGAATTCTCAGCAATAGCCATGCTGCCTGGGAATTCTGAGAGTTAATCCACAGTGTGGGAAAGACTAGTTTATAAAATATATTTGTTCGGTAAATAATAAAACCCAGAGTCCCATATTTATATCAGGAACTAATTTCTTTTAATTAAGAACAGCATGAAAACAAATCATGTTAGAAGCAAGTTTTTAAAGGACTGAAAAATGTGAAGGCACGAGGAGCTATAAGGTTAGGAACGGCAGGTCTCCACTTCCCCTCCAGGTTAATGTATCTGGATGCAGAATTATTATAGCATGCATTTTTGCTTTAGGGAAGAGCAACAATTCAGTTGCAGTCATTGCAAAAGGACAGGAAGAAAGCAAACAATGCATGTGCCTATATACAGACATATCCATCATGCTGTGAAATACTTGTGCGCCTGATGAATGTGCGCCTAGAAAGCCAAAAGCCCTTGGGTTGGTAAGATGTATTTAAGCACAGTTCAATTTGTCAGCAAGCTCACATTCTTTAGTTTCCATATTCATTTACCTATTTTCTGCATTTCCATCCCACGCAATCCAGAGACTTGGCAACTTACCTAGAGTATTAAAGAACCAAGTAAAACATCCATAGTGTAACAACTATAAACTGTAAAACAATACCATCCAAATAGAAAACTGCAAACAATAAAAACAGAAAATGAAGATGGCATGACAAAACTCTGTCCTTAAAAGCTTCCAAAATCAACAAGGAGGAGGGTTGCTTGACTTAACCAGGAGGCTGTTCCATAGTGTTGGCACTGCCCCCCAGACTTCCCAAAAATGTGGGATCATTAACAGTTTCTCTCTATTTGATCTAACTGGTCATATGATGCGTAGGATGAAACTTTGTTTCTTACCCAAGCCTCCTTTTGAAAGTGTTTTCAGGTTTGGTGCTGATACTCTCAGAAACTGGCAGGAGAACATTTCAATATCCTAGAACAATTGCAATAGACCTTAACTTAGGAGTGGGGAAAATCCTGTTTTATGACCTCCTCAGCCACTTCTGATTAAAAATTAGTGGTATGATCTTCTGCCATGTTAATATAGGAATCATGTAGCTGCTGTGTAAATCTGAGAGTAGGTTTTTAATAAATCAGCTTCCCTAGTCCCTTCCTCCCTAAGAGAAAATTGCCATACCCTCTTTGCATCATGGCTGTCATTCTCCCTCAAAGCTTTCAGCCACCAAAAGTGGACCCACCCTTGCCTTATACAGTTGCCATATTTTAGCAAAATTGTTTTGGAAGATCTTTGGCATGGAGTCACTGAGCTGGAGTTACTGAAGTTTAAAAGGTTTTTATTGGGTGTATTCTAGCTCAACCCACTAAATCCCAAAAGTGAGATTTGGACTTATTACAGGTACTCCTCCCTTAATGACAGTAATTGGGACTGGAATTTCCATCACTAAGTGATGCAGTCATAAAGCATGATGTCACATGACCATGCTGCTTAGTGACAGAAATTCCAGCACTTCTGGTTGCCATCATTAAGGGAATCCTGTGCCTTTATTAAGCATGACATCACGTCGCCATTTGCAACGTCCTGCTTGTAGGAAGGAGGCAAAGAAGGTCTTTGCTTGTAGAAAAGCTGGCAAAGCAGGTCACAAATGGCATTCATGTGACCACGGGACACTGCAACATTGTAATTGCAAGCCAGTTGCCAAGCTCATGGATCACAGTCACGTGGCTGCGGGGACACTGCAACAACCGTAAGTACAAGGACCGGTCGTAAATACCATTCATTCAGTGCCATTGTAAGTTCAAATGGTCATTGAATGAGTGGTCGTTAAGCAAGGATGACCTGTAGTTTTTAGGGGGAAATTCTTGATAGTACTTCAAAT